CCCTGACAGCTTGTCTGACCTTGTCCTCTCTGCAGTAAATTGAATTAAAGAATAAGGCCAGGTACTGCAAGAACCAGAGATAAGGGATCTGGAGAAATTACTTGAAGAAGCCTGGAGAGTTTTTGGAAATCGGGAAGATGTAGATAGGGGAAAGCTGACAAAAGTGATGGCCACGGCCACTGTGGCAGCATTGGAACAGAAGGGAGTAGTGAATGGTAGGGGATTTAGAGGACGTGGAAGGGGGATGTCTTTTGGGACTAGAGGAGGACTAAGGAATTTGGCAAGAGGTAGAGGTGTTAATGTTGGAAATGTATTGGAGAGGAATCAATGTGCATATTGCTGGGAAAAAGGACACTGGAAAAATGAATGCCCTGAGCTTAAAGGTACCCCACCTGCCTTGATAGCCAGAGCAGAGACCGATTGACAGAGACCTGGGGCATCTACCCTAGCAGATCCACTGGTCAAAATAAAGCTAGGGGAACAAGAGAAAGAAGTTGAATTTTTAATAGATACAGTTGCCTCTTTCTCTGTTTTAAATCAAGAAGTAATGCCTGTAAGCAAGGATTTTGTAAATGTGATAGGAGCCACTGGCCAGCAGAGAAAGGCGTTCTTTTGGAACCCCTTAGATTTAAATTAGGAAAACAGATCGGATTACAGTACTAGACCTAAAAGATGCATTCTTTTGTCTGCCTTTGGCTAAAGAAAGTCAAAAGTTGTTTGCTTTTGAATGGGAAAGCCCTACCACTGGTAGGAAAACCCAGCTTACTTGGACAGTGTTACCCCAAGGTTTCAAAAACAGTCCAACAATTTTCAAAAATCAATTAGCACGTGAGCTTGAGGCATGGAAGCCTCATTCCAATGACAGAACCCTTTTACAATACATGGATGACCTATTAATAGCAACTGAAACAAAACCTGAGTGTATCCAATGGACTGTGAGCTTGTTAAACTTTCTTGGACTAAATGGATATCGAGTCTCTCAACAGAAAATTCAAATGATACAACAGCAAGTGACCTACCTGGGATATGAATTATCTGGAGGACAACGGGAGTTGGGAACTGGACGAAAGGAAGCCATCTGTAAAACCCCACTTCCTCAGACGGTAAAAGAACTCAGAACCTTCTTGGGAATGACAGGTTGGTGTCGATTATGGATTTATAACTACGGAATAATAGTGAAACCTTTATATGAACTTTTGAAAAATAATCCCACTGGATTGATATGGTCCAAAGAAGCTCAGAACGCATTTGAAATACTTAAAAAGGAACTCATGAGAGCCCCAGCCTTGGGCTTGCCTGATGTAACCAAACCTTTCTGGCTCTTTTCTCACGAGAAACAAGGAATAGCTCTAGGAGTTTTAGCTCAGCGGCTGGGACCATACAAAAGAGCCGTAGCTTACTTCTCCAAACAATTAGATGAAGTAAGTAAAGGATGGCCAGGATGTTTACGAGCGGTAGCGGCCGTAATACTAAATATTGAGGAAGCCCGGAAATTTACTTTGGGCCAGAAGATGACAGTGTTGGTTTCACATACGGTATCCGCTGTATTAGAACAAAAAGGGAATCACTGGCTTTCCCCATCCAGGTTTTTGAAATACCAGGCCATCCTTGTTGAATCGGATGACATTAAAATTGAAGTGACTAACGTTGTGAACCCAGCCTCTTTCCTTAGTGGAGCAACAACTGAACCACTGACGCATGACTGTTTGGAAACAATAGAGACTGTGTACTCCAGCAGACCAGACCTGAAAGAAGAACCCCTGGAGGACGCACAGGATTCCTGGTTTACGGATGGAAGTAGCTTTGTCCGACAAGGTATCCGTAAAGCTGGATATGCGGTGACCACAACAAATAAGGTAATTGAATCCCAACCACTGCCTACTGGGACGTCAGCTCAAAAGGCTGAGATTATTGCTTTGACTAGAGCTTTGGAATTGGCAAAAGGGAAAAGGATAAATATATGGACAGACTCTAAATATGCTTTTGGGGTTGTTCATGCCCATGGAGCAGTCTGGAAGGAACGAGGATTGCTTACTGCGCAAGGAAAACAAATCAAACATGCAGAAGAAATACTTCGTCTACTGGAGGCAGTACGGTTACCAGCTAGCGTCGCCATCATGCATTGTCGAGGACATCTGAGGGGTAACACTGACCAAGAAAGAGGTAACAGATTGGCTGATTATGAGGCTAAACAGGCAGCAGAAAGAATACAGAAAGAACAAAGTCTAGCCTTAATTTTTCCTTAAAAGGAAACGTACCAGGAGACCATTGGCAAATTGATTTTTCCGAACTCCCAAGAAAAGGGGGGTATAAGTACTTATTGGTGCTTACAGACACCTTTTCTGGATGGCCAGAGGCTTTTCCCTGTAGAACAAACCAGGCAAGAGAAGTGACTAAAGTGTTATTGAACGAGATAATACCTCGATTTGGAGTACCTATAGTCATCTTATCAGATGGAGGTACTCACTTCTGTGCACAAATAGTGCAACAAGTTAGCAAACTATTGGGAATTGATTGGCAGTTACACACCCCATATAGGCCGCAGGCCAGTGGGCAAGTAGAAAAAATGAATCACATGATAAAACAGCAGATAGCCAAAATATGTCAAGAAGCAGATTTGTATTGGTATCAAGCATTACCCATAGCTCTGCTTAGACTACGAGTAAAGCCAAGAGCTAAAGAGAACCTAAGCCCTTTTGAAATATTCTATGGGAGACCATACCAGACAAAATATAAAGGGGAAGATTTAAATCAGTTGGGTAATTCCTATTTACAAAATTATGTTATTTCTTTGGGAAAACAATTAGAGAAAATCAATAAGACTGTCCTAGGAAACAGAGTTAAGGGATTGGATCATCCTATCCATCCCTTTAGTCCTGGAAGTTGGGTTTATATCAAGAATTTCTCAGGTAATCCACTGGAAGAGAAGTGGAATGGACCATTCCAAGTGCTACTGACCACTTTCACTGCAATCAAAGTGAAGGAACTGTCGTCCTGGATTCACTACTCTCGAGTGAAAAAAGCTCCAGACAAGCAATGGACTTCTGAAACCTTTAGGACCCTTAAAACTAAGATTACAAAAGACGGCTTCGAGTCTTAAGGAAGATCCTGACTTGAGCAGAGATGGACCTCCGAATGTACTGGATCAGCGAAACTGCGATTCTGGAAATCATTATTATGATCTTCTACATCACAGCTGGATGGACAGAGAACTGCACCACCCATCAAGATCTAGATGATGTCCCTGACCCTGAAGACTGGACCAGGAATGGATATTTGGGCAATGCAGGTTTGAATATCACATATAAGAAGACTAAGGTATACACAGTTTTAAAAATTGATGGTCAGATTAGAAGAGATTGGGGAAATTCACGACAAATACTGTCTTTTGAAATAAGAGAGAACAGCTTGGTTGTATAGCATGTAAATTTGATATGGGTAATTTCATGCTATACAATGATGTACCTAAACTACAGATTGGAATGGACATTAATGTCCTTAAGAAAATGCTTTCCCACCCAGACATTAAAATGTTGCTAAAGAAGATGAAGGAAGCTTCGAAACAAACATTATGGCAAGTCCAGCACAATACTCTGGAAATAAAGAAAATCATCACAGCCATCGAGAAAACTGGTGAACACCATTGGTGGGACATTTTTTTAAATACCTCACTAAAATCTCCAACTGCTGCTCAGTTTTTCAACTTCTTATTGCATCCTGTACTAGTGTTGATTTTTGTAGCCCTACTGCTAACACTTCTCAACATTTGGTTATGGTGGAAAGTACGGACTGTTGCTCAACAAGTACATGTATTATGGGCTGTAAACAAAAGTATGCAAAAGAATTTGCAATAGCTTAAAGAAAAGGGGGGATTGAATTAAAGAATAAGGCCAGGAATGGCTTGAAGGTTTGCTTATCTAAGGCCAGGAATGGCTTGAAGGTTTGCTTATCTAAGTATGACTTAGCAAATGACTGAACACAAAGAGGGGCCTGCAACCCCTGCAGAGCTACAATAAGTAACGAGACAGGAAGGCTGGCACGTAGGCAACAAACAATCACGAGGCCAGCACAATGTTATCTTATCTCTGACAAATGGAGAATTCCAAGAAGGAGGTAGCGTATGGTAATGAATTACTGGAAACTAATGAATATGTTAAAACACCTTACATGAATATGTATGTATGTATGCATATATGTTGTCAAACCGACTCCGTCTGGCGCGCACATTTGGAGGAGCGATCCCCTGTGCGTCCAGCGCTGCAATAAAGAATACCTGCTTAATAGTCATCCCGGGGCATCACACTCTTGTATGATGCTCTGAGTTTATGAAATTCAATCACAGTTTTCAGGCAGATCTTTCTGTACTTTTTTCCTACAGTAAGAACACTTGCAACAGCAAAAGAAGCCCTTAATACCGAAGGTAGGTGTGATTAGAGCAGTAACGAGAGCAATAGTTTTTGTAACAGAAAAAAAAGAGTCAGAGTCAGATGCAGCAGAAACAAACCCAACATGGATGTTTTGTTTCTTTGAATGAGAAATATTTTGTGGGACTTTTACATTCAAATTTTCAATATCCTGGTAGCTCTTCATCATCAATATTTCAAAATTGGCTGGTCAGCTACCTCTACTAAAAGAAGTCTCATATCACACTTAGCGGATGTTGGATTTCTCTTCACTTACACTATTAGAATCTGTCAGAAGATGTTCTGTCTGGGTAGAGTTGAATAAACAGGTAAATAAACATTGTTTAGGCAAATAATTCTGAACACATATTTTCCTTTTAAAAGGGTATCCTTGGGTTTTTTCTATTTTTAGTGCTTTTGAAATAAAGACGGTTTTTATATCAGAAACTTTCTGTATCAACATCCACCAAGCAAAGATAAGTATATCTCTAATCATGAATACTAATATTCACATGACTGGTAAAGAAAATTTGTAGATTCTCTAGGGCATTCCCGAATTTCACAACCCCAAGCCGTGTATTTGGCATCACGCCATACTTGATCATCCTGCTGATGTACAGTATGATTTCGATCCAGTTTTGATTGGCTTTCTTTCTTTTGTTTGTTTTTTTTGGTTTTTTGGTTTGGTTTGGTTTTTTTTAATCTTTCTAATCTGCAGTTTCTGAAGTCTCATTGATGTACTTCTGTGTGTATGGTAGCCTGAACTTACCCATCCAGAACAGACAATATGGACTGACACAATAGGTCACTGTTATCCTCCTAGACTGAAAGTCACAGCTTTGAAACTCATGTTTCTTGGATGGCAGTATGATAATAAAGGAGGAAAAATACTATATATCTTACTCCCTCTCCTACAGTTTGTGATCATTCGTGAACAAAAAGACAGTACCTATTTGTGTTACTTCTTTTATGCTTTGCTGTTGACCACCTCTGTGCATTCTGATGTTCTTGAAGAGATTAATTCTCAGAGATCTCATAAAGCTTGTAAAGGAGCAACATCACTTTTCCTAACTTTTTCGAAACAGATGCTTTTGCAATAAAAGTCTTGATAGCTTTTCTGTCTCATTGTTATCTTAATTTGCTTGGAGCACTTGAAAGAACTCATCTCACCTAAAATAGACTTTAGCTATTTAGAAGTTACGCTTATAGTCTAAACTAAGCTGTGTGTAGGGTCTCTCAGCAACCAAGACACACTTTTCTTTGTGAAATTAATTGCCCACTGGAGGAACCTATTTCTAAAGTGAGCATGGGAAGTATGATTAAGTATGACTAAGTTAGACAAGATGTTTAACCTTAGATGCTGAAGTTAATCTCACCAGCATCCCATTAACGTAGTCAGAGAGCATGTACTGAATATCAAATATTGTCTTCAGAGCATTATGTTTTATAGTGCCTTTGAAAAAGAGCTGACAAATGCAGATGCATCTCAGAAGAAATTTCTAGTGTTTAGAAATAGCTCTGAGATAGCACTATAATGCCAACTCCTTTTAGTGCTTTAGAGAGCAGCACAAGAAGCCACCAAACTGAGTTTGGTCAGAAACTGAAATATAGCAAGTCCTGGAGAGGAACTAAGTGCACAGCTTCTACTATGCCAAAACTGAAGCCTGTTGTCGTCTCATGAGACCAGGAAAAGCACGGGGAGGGGGGGCAGTAATATAACTGCCTTGACAATGCTCACAGAGAATTAATTTGAGAGACAATTAAATAATGAATACCACACTTGTTCTCTACCTGAAGTGAATCTTTCTGCTGGCATAGCTACTGCAGCATGTTTGGGGAACTCCGCTTCTGTTTTCCCAGTAAAATGAGCTCAATTTCTTTTAATTTTAAATTACCAAGCTCAAGCTGAACTGTGATGAGAATTTCACAAAAGTTTGACTATTTTGAAAAAATTTCTCATTGTCATTTTAGGGGAATACTGCTTAAAATAGGACGCCTGTGTTTATATACAAATTTATAAATAGCATATTTCAATGCAAGCAGTTTCCAGGCTGAATAGCCTGTGCAGTAGGCACACAAGTGCTTTGCGATTGATAGTACTCGGTAATGACAATAGATCGCAAATGGGGATTTAGACATGCAGCTCCTGGTATTGTCACTGAGAAACGCATATCAACTTCTAACACACTGTGCCGCAGGATAATCTCCAAGAATCAGACGTTCTCCCTCCAGATTAGGTTATAACAGAATTGATTTTCATACCTCGCTCAAACAAAAAAGACCACTTGGCAATGAGAAAAATTGCATTAAAATGATTAGCAGTGTCACTCTGGTTAATTTGATTACATTTGTTATCCAGCCTTTTTTAGTGGTGATTTTTACTTTTCATTTTTGTTTCTCCTCTACACCCCCTGGTTTTCTATCGTATGTTAGTCTTACCTTCTATTTAAGTACAACAAATAATACCCCAAAAATAATTATTCTCTCCTGACAGCAGTCTGTCTGAAAAAGTATGTATTAGGAAAAGTTCAGAGAAGGGCAAGCAAGGCTTTTAGGAAGTTTAAGTAACAGATCTGATAAGGAATGATGGGAAAGAGGTGATGCACACCACAAGCAAGAGTATTCTACAAATATTTGAAGATATAAATAATCAGATAATAGAAGAAACATTTAAGGTATTTGACAATGATAAGCCACATCAGGTTTTGATAGGAAAAAAAATTAGATAATTTCAAAAGTCTTTTTATTCATATCTTGAAAGTTACAAAAGTAGACAACAGAATCAATAGACTCAAAAAGTCCAGATGTCATTAGTGAAAATGTGTAGTCTTCTCTACTTTGAACTTCTTCCATGTTTGAGACTCATAATAGACTGCTAACACATTATTTGCTGCTACCACATTACCTGTAAAATCCTGATAAGTACTTTTGTAGCATTATCAGAAATTTTAGGCCTATTGGCAGTGGACTAAATTACTCAATTTCTGACCCTATTTTTGTCCTTGACATCATGTATGTCTTTTTTTTCAAATACTATAATTCTTAGGTGTCAGAGTAGACTTTCCTGATTCTGAAATTTACCTGTCTCTGAAATGTAGAAAAAAATAATAATAATGGAAATATAATTTATTTATACTACTTTTTAAATATCTGCATAGGTACGTTAGTGTTAAATGTAAGATTAATATTTTTACTCCAAGTGTGATTATTCAGTTGGATATCATTATGCTAAAAATTATTTTAAGTAATCATTAGTTTATTGCATATCATATGTTTTAAGAAAAAAAATACTTCAGGACTTTTTAAATATAGAAGAGATCGTCATTGCAAATATAACATGGAAACCAGAAAGGGCTCCTTTTGACCTAGTCCTTTTACCAAAGACCTGTTTTCAAAGGCTGACAAGCAGTTCTGTTCTCATCCCAAACATCCTTAAGCTGCTTGTAGAACGATAGATTAATATTAGAGGATTCTCTCTTGTAAACATTGAAAGCTAAAAATGTTTGTGTAGTAAAACGTGTAGGGATTGTCTTTAGTATACATATTAGCCTGAATTCAGTATATTTGAGTGACTGCAGCCTTTGTGTGTGCAAACTCCACCAAAAAAAGAACAAAAAAAAGTGGAAAAAATCTGAAAGTAGGGTAAGATGATAAATTAATACTATTAACGTTATTAAAGTCAATTAAATTTAATTTGAGATAATTATAGGCAAAAACTTTTAGCACGCTGTAAAACTGATTCATCAATTACAAGAAACATAAAATTGAGTTCAGACAAAAGGCTAGTGCAGTAATTTAACAAAGTAAATGTAAAGTAACCATGAAACATACATGTCAGGCCCTCCTGAGGGCACCACCAGCCCTGACTGTCCCTCACCCTGCTCCATAGGTGTCTCCTCACCCTACCCACAGCCCAGGACCTCATGTCAGCTCCCGGGGCTGCCAGCCCCTGCCCCAGTGATGCCACGTCAGGGCTGGTCTCCAGCTCCCCGCAGCCTTGCCCTGCTCAGCCATGAGCCGCACCAAGTTGGGCCCAGCTGCAGGCCCACATCCCAGCCTGGCCTTGGCCTGCCCTCATCCCCAGGGAGGTGCTCGATGCCTGGGGCTAGGGCCGCCCTGGTGCCCCTCCGGCTGCCTTGCTTCTGGCTGGGAGATGGGACATGCCCTTGGCCACCAGGCCTTTCCCTGCTCCTTGCTGGGAGGTGGCACATGCTCTGGCCACCAGGCCCTTCCCTGCCGCCATGGGGAGCCCCCGCTGCCCCCGGCCCAAATGGGGAGGTGCCCACCTGCACTGCTCCCTGAAAATACAAACGGAGAGAAAACTGCATTATAAAACTTCAGAACCAAATAAGTAGCGTGGGGAAGGAGTTCCTTCTCCGGCATTACAACCTTATATGAACTTGCACGTGTTCCTTAATATCATTCAGCCAGAGAAATATGAGAGCATGTGGCAGAAATAAATACCAGCCCTTCCACCACAGTCACTTGCTGTCACCAGAGTACATGCAGACTCTCTCATCATCCCTGAATTCTTATAATTTTAATCTACAGCTGTCAGCACAGTAGTAAACAGTTCCTCAGTTCATTTACTAAGAATTCTGGGAATAAAGAGATTACTGACTTCTTAAATACTTGCATATTTCAATAACCCTTTGCATTTGTTCTGCTTTTAGAGGGTACAAATATGGGAAAAGGCCTTGAATGTGTACAATTTTACAATAGGATACAAACAATTTTATTGTTTCATACAATAAAAATAAGCAGTTTCAGAAAACTTAATGATCAACTAGAGCTATTGTTCTTTATCATAAAGTTTTGATGAGTCAACACCAAGGATTCATTAGCTGTTGGTATTCAAAGATGGCCATACTATGACAATGTAACTTTTTTCATTACAACAGTACTTGCGTCAACAAATTGCGGTTGTTTGTAGTAAGAAGCACTGTCATGTGTTCCTAATAAGTATTTTCATACCTTTTAATACACCAAAGGACTTCTGCAGGTTGCTTGTCTAAAGCTGGACCAACTTCACTGAAAAACCTCTTGCACTGGAAATAGCAGTAAATAGCCATCTACTACAATCACTTATTCCTGTGGGTGGACGTTTGGGTGTTCTTCATCTAGCCTGTTTTTAGATATCTACTGCAGACCTGTGACCTTCCCCTTCTGTGATCCCTTCATAATTAGTGGAAAGAAATAGACACTCTAGGGCATGATTCATATGACCCACTTTAAGCATCTACTTCAGGAGATGAATTGCACCCTAGAGGTGTCAACCTCTCCTTTGATTATGAAGAGTTTTAGATCACTAACCACATGTACAAAGAGATGTCTAGATTTGGCCAGATGAATCTCACCCTCAGTGACATGAGTGAATAGGGTCTGAGCCAGGCAACCTTTCTCTGAAAGCAACATAGAACTGGCAGTAGCAGAACTGTAAACCACCAATGACCTTGAGACATCCTGTTATTCTAGTCCACTGTTAAAAAAGGACATTGGTATCTCCACAGTATTGACTGCATTTTAAACCTTTTCTGTCAGATTAAAAAATGTATATGAGATTTATTGCAGGGTATAATCCACACTTTTTCTTTGATCATATTTTCAAAAGAGCTGCACTCATAAATCATATAGATGTTGTATTATGTACTGGTTTATATAGTAACTATTTTTATTCTTGTCAACTTATTTAAGTTTTTTCTTTATAATGAGTGTTGCAAAGTTTTTTGATGTTGTTTGTGGTGTCTTGTGGCTCTACATGTCGTTTGACAGATTACAAACTTTTCACTGTCTAATACTTTGTTGAATGCAAAATGCATTTTATTCTCTACAATTGCAGTTTCCACTGAGTACATATTACAACCAATTATTCCTCATTACAGTGTAGCTGTCTACTTATGTCAGACCTCATTACTGTTTCTTAGAGTCAGAATTCTAGTACCCAGGAGTTTAAAATATTTGAATAAAAAGTTAGAAGTCCACAGATCAACAATCTTTCGTTTATTTTTAGTATGCCATTTTTATTACTTTGACATTCTGAAAGAACTTGACTTCAGGACCTTCACTTCATCACTCTTGGATAGTTGGATGCTTGTGTTGTGAAATAAAGTATCC